GGACAAACAGCTGATCAGCTGTTTGTCGGCTCAGCGCGGCAGCCATGTAAATTTAAATGAAGCTGTGATCATTTAAATCGCGGCTTCATTTGCCTTTGCCAAAACAACAAATCTATATGGCTCCGTCGACGGAGTCATGTAGTCTAGACATACCCTGAGAGTCCCCAGAACTCTAGCAGTTCTAGAGTTGATGACTTAAGGGCATGGCCAGATTATGACACAATGAGGACCAAAGCTATCTCAAATGTAAGAGGCCCTTAAGATAAAAAAAATAATCTTATTATTTTCACAGAAAGAACAAAGAATATATAAACATGAAATAGTTATGTTCTCACAGGAAAACAACAGAGGATATATAATTGTTTTTACACCATGAAAAAGGAAAATTATCCTTCTTTTCATATGAATAAATGAAAAAAGTTTGATTAATTTGTTAGAGAAATACAAATTTATCCAGATTATATATAAATACATATTTATAAACGTTTAATCCTATTTAATTTTCACTACAAAACAGAGGATTGTTGGGATTTTTCTTTTGGCACACTATAGATATATAACAAATAGTGCTGCAAAACTATTTGTTGTTTTTTAAGTTTTTCCAGTTACAGACTAACTCAGCTACCCCTCTGAAGTTATAAAAATACAGTGAAGATTCCTGAACCTGATGGAGGAAAGACACAATTCTTTTCTCTTCAAGATCCACTTGCCCTAAGTCCATAACACAAACAATAGAGCCCTACACATACAAATGTCTACCCATGGATGTGGATATCTGCAGATTGACACTGGTATCTGTTGATCTGAAGGGCTCTACTCCCAAGAGATACTGCAGCAAACAGAGAGAAGTGTGTCTCGTTACTCTTGGGAGCCAGCACCCTATGCCGGCAGCTCTTCCCAGCCATGTGGCTGTACTACTCCCAACTCTGCTCCTAGTAGGGCTAAAAGACCACAGACAGGAAATGCTATGGCTGGAGATATTACAGCTTCACAGCCAGGCAGGGCTGGCCTTACCATGAGGCGAACTGATGCGGTTACCTCAAGTGCCAGACTGTGGGGGAGGGGGGGAAGCGCCACTTGGACCCACAGTGTAGAAAATTGTGTCTGCTGCTGGTGCATATATAGTACCATGAGAGGAGTAGAACAGGAAGAAGGCAGAACTGAGACCTTTCAAAGTTTTGGCCCAAGCAAGGGGACATGGGGGCGTCATTTGAGCTCCCCACCTAAGGTGCCAAAATGTGGGCTGGTCCTGCAGCCAGAAGCAGCTGCCAGCATGGTACATGAATAGCGCATGAAACAAAAAGTAGCATGTGCAATGCACAATTATATGTATGTATAGATCAAAAAAGAAAGATCACACTAACACTTAAGAAAAACAAAGGAAAACAGGAGTGAAGGCGCTACACAATTGAATATACTGAACTGTAAACAAAACATGGTGACCTTCTGGCTACTACCAGCAAAGGGGGAAGCTATACATGGCGTCAGTCCTATGATGAGTCCCATACATGTATGAGCTTGGCAGGATTGCTTCATGACACTGTGTGTTCGACCTCACATTTTTCCTGATTTTATCGGCAGTGAGATTACTCATTTATTTGTTTACTTCATTTATTTATTTAAATGAGTAATGAAGGCACAGTCAGCTGGCAAACAAAACACTGTCTTAGGAGACTGATACCAAACTTACTCATAGAAATCCTAATTTTACAAGTTCAATTTTTTTTTCTTAGCCCTGGCCTCCTGACTTCCAATAATGAACAATTAATGAAGGATAAAAGTAGGGTAAGGATACTTGTATAGCCAGATGTGTATAGTTTTGTCATATTTGAACAAAAAGGTCTATCTTTAGAGAGAAATTTATTTTCCCATATCTCCTTTATTTTGATAAAATTGGAAATGGAGTCAGTTTTTCTGTTTTAGAGGCCCTTCATATACGAGCCCCTAAACTGTTTCTTAGTTAGCTTATGCCTTGGTTTATGAGCCACCTGGGCATTGGTTTTAGCAAAAATTTCATAAGAGACTGTGTCTTAATGAACAACCCACAGCCAAGGATGTTTGGATGGTGATCCTACAACAAGCTGAGTCATGATTTCTCCAAAACCTCTAAGACATATCAAATCATGTTCACCCGGGATCTCTTAACAACTATATTTTTACTTGCTGGTTGATCCTCACACATTTCTGATAAAAAGGGAGAAAACCATAGCAACAGCAATAATAATATACAGAGGCAAACTCAGAAAAGGGCCTTGTGTGACACTGACACCACTTTATTTCCTGTGACACAATCTCTTGTTTTTGGATAAATATCCTGACAATGGCAGAGAGAGAGAATGGGGAAAGGAGAGAAAATCATGGAAATTGACAAAGTGGAAAAATGGAGGGCTTCCCTTTTATACACTGGAAGCAGCAGTTCATATGCACTGAAAAGGTAGCTAACAAGTAGGGACATACAGAGCTACTTGTACCATCTCAGCTGCAGCATGTATAAACCATCTCTGACAAGACAGGTTAAAAGCCCCACAATGCTGTATCTAATGGAATTCCCATTACTCACACAGAAGGAAGACAGGGCTGGAGTGAGGATCTATTTTAATATGTACCATTTAAAGCAAAACACATTTTAAGAGTGTCTCATTTACAGATTGCCCATTCACTCATCCTCTCTCATCTTGGTAAACCAGTTTATGGCCCTTGAAGGGCTGACCTCAAGCTCTTACTGAACCCATTAATTCTACTTTGAGTGTTATCAACACCAAAGGAAAGTATTCCTCCTTCCTCATTGGCTGCTGCTTTGGGGACAAATCTGTTGCCTCCACAGTGTTTGAGAGAGAAGTCTCCAGAACATGGGTTGATTCCTCATGTGATATACTGCTGGGGACAGAGTCCCTTTTACGTTTCGCTGTCCATATCATTATTCTCTAACATGACAACTGGCCATTACCTCACTTTCGTTGCAGCAGAAGATGTCAGAATGGGTGTAAAATTGTGGATCTAGTTCAGCAAGAGCTGGAGCAGGATTAAACAGAGTCTTCACTGCAACAGAATGGAAAGAAGTTGTCTAAATCAATGGCATTTATGCATAAAACATTTACAACCTATAGCCGGGAACCCCAAATTCCCTATTAGAACAAATACAATGTCAGCTCCTTATCTATTCCCTACGGATATGCAAGCTACTTAGACACACAAAATGCAGCAAAACCCTGCTTTCTCACAGTACATACAACCTTTGTTAATTGTATTACAGATAAATATATACCCCCCCCATTGATATTTATCTGCTTTTAGAAGAAAATGAAAGGCGAGCAATAGGCAAGATTCAAGCTGCATTCAAAAGATTTTTTAACTAAAAAAAAAACCATCGAAATTTAGATATCATAGAATCATAGGGCTGGAAGAGACCTCACAAGGTAATTGAGTCCAACCCCCAGGGAGCTAGCGGGAGCAATGAGGCTGGGTGACAAAAGATGCTCATATATTGGATGGGGGACAGAGCTAGTTAGATATCTAATATAAATAATTTCATTTGTGGAATGTCTCCCTAGGAGTATTTTAATGAGGTTTACTAATACTGATTTAGCCTCAGAACTTCTCGGGAGGAAGGTAAACATTATAATCTTCATTTTACATATGAGGAAACTCAGACACAGAATGACGAAGGCTTTGTCTAGACTACAATTTAAAAGAGTTAGGAGGTGTTAGCTAATGTTTCAATGCTAGTACAGCTGGTAAAAATGATGTCTTGGTTAAAACCTGTCAAAGTGTGTTAGCTAATACCTTTAGTGACTTGCCTTTGAATTTACTTAAACAAAGCTCAGGCCAAGTCTACACTAGAGAAAGTTTGCCCTAGACGAGCTGCCCTAACTAGCGCCCTTGGCGAAATGCACAATCAGTGCCCCTGCTTCCAAAGCCCTCAATGGCCATTTATCTTGGCACCCTAGGCAACCGCGTAGGTCGCCTGTATTGACGGGCCACCACTGGCCCTATCTGTAGAGTGTCAGGGACTTACTCAGTGTAACACAGAAGTCTATGGATCCCTTGCCCTGCATCTCCAGCTTAGTATATCTGTTCCTTAGCCTTAAGAGCCTCCCTTCTTCCATGTGAAACATAACATCTTATGTTAGAAAATGTACTTATAATCAGTGGTAAATGTTTTTTAGCTTTGAAATCCAGCTTTTAAAACTACGTTTAGGCACCTGTGCATAACCAGCCTGAATTTCTAACCAGCATTTATGAATCCCATTTATTTGAATGGAAGCCTCAGGTGATCTGAAACTTCAGGAATATGAATAAATATAAATGTGGAAGCTGAACTTTAGACATTCAGGTTTGAAAATTTTGGCCAGTGACTATTCTTCAACTTCACAATTCCTCTCTATTTTCTTATCATTTGAAAACACTGTTGCATACAAAACAACTACATTACAAGTATGTTACTGAAGTTGCAAGATTAAGCACTCACAAATCTCTTGTCTAGGAAATGCTAGAATTAGGCTTGCCTCTACAGCCTTAATTCAGCTCCCTTGTGCATCTAAATTATGATACAGTCTATATATATATATATATCTTTCTGTAGTATTTCTTAACTTGCTAGATTTTTTAGATCTACTGCACAGACCTCTGCCATTTGGGCTAAGAGAGTAACGAATAGCAGTAATATGGTGTTATCCTTTATGTGGATCAGCAATAAAAGGGGATGGGACACTTTGCCAGTGGGTTTTACAAATCTGAGCTTCCAGTCTTAATCTTTCTCCCACCACTCCCAATCTTCATCGTTCACCCAGTCCCAGTGAGCTTGCCCAGCCTGGCCTGGAGCAACTAGGAACAGGAATTATAAGGAAAGCCGAGCAGACTTCCAGCTGGAGCGTGACTGATGTGGATAGACTATGAAGCTATAGCAAGTCTTTACTAAGCATGAATAAACTGTTATTTTTTCCAAAGGAAGATCCCGGACACAAAGTCCACTTCCTTACCACATTTCCAGTGGCTAATCCAAAGAAGAGGGTTATCAGAACTTCTCCACCACAAGATTGCCAGAATTTTTTTAACATGATCAAAACAATGTGTTCTCCTCTAGCCTCATTCTTACCTGTAGCAATTTGGCAGACATTTTTCAAAAAAAATTCAGCTGGAAGTGGCACCTTGCATGGAAATTTTACCCTAAATGGCTAAAAGTTTGACCAAGTTATAAGTAATGAAAACTGGGATCTTGTAACAGGAAGTATCACGCAACGTTAATAATAGATTGTGCCAGCAGACCAACCTATAGTACTTTCCATTCATAGTGAACTGCATCACAATTCTCCTTCAATACAACATTAATAGGCTGGATACGAACTCCTATTTTATATTATCCATCATCTCCCAGTTACTTTGGGATCCTCACAAACTTTTCAAACACAGGAGGAACTGCACTCACCACTGAAATGGAGCATCTCTCGGAAGGGACATGTCAGCAGTTTTACAGCACATAGCAACATTAGTCAGCAGTTAAAAGGAGGAATACAGTATTTGAGTCAAACTTCCAAGGGAAATTATGCACATTGAATATAGTTACTCAAGCCAGAGTATAATTAGGATAGATCAGAGGTTAACATCTTTGCTCTTTTACAAACTGCCATGGAATCTTTAACAATCAGAGAAAACCAACATTTTCTATTACATGTACTCTGCAATACCAATACAAATAAGTCATTGAATGGAAACAGAGGGGTTTTAGGCTTCCATACATCCTCAACCCCTTTTTCTTATTCCTTTTAATTAAAACACAAAAAAAGTACATAATCCAAAACAGAAATTTGAGGCATCTGGATATGCATCTGTTAAACAAAAATAGTCTAGTATACTTCCTAACATACAGTATTGCATTATACATGAGGGCGCTCCAGGCTAAACCAAAGGAAATAACTGACAGCCAAGATAGGTTTAAGATTTCACGATCTTACAAGCAAAACGTTTACTTAAATTTGACTGTACAGAGCATTTGAAGATGTGCAGCATGTTATCTATGGGAGAGTTGGCCCACACATTAGCAAAGGTTTGATTGCTCAATGATTTCAGACTGAAGGCTTGGAAGTACGCCACTCCTAAGCTGATCCTGTCTTTTGTTGACATATTGTACCACCTAAGGTTGCTAAGGCTATGTCTACACTGCATACCTTACAGCAGCACAGTTACGCCACTACACTCATGCAATTGTAAGGCATGTACTGTAGCTATTCTTTACTGGCACGTCTCAGCTCTCCTGCTGACAAAATAAAACCACCACCCCAATGCGGGGAAATAGTTTTGTCATCAGAAGAGTGTCTCCCACTGACAAAGTGCTGCCCATGCTGGTGTTTTTCATTACTAAAACTTTTGTCAGTTGGGATGTGTATTTTTTTCATATCCCTGACCAACAACCGTTTTTACTGACACAAGTGCAATGTAGACAAATCCCTAGTCTTTGCTTGTCTATTTAATGTGTTGTTTTTTCACACTTTCATGTAATAGTGAAACACTCTACTTCTCTTTTGTCTGAGACTTATATCTTAGCCTAAGGAGGTAGAGAGAAGTAAAATGATCTGATCGAGATCATATACTGAGTCAATGGCAGAAATACCATATAACCTAGGAGCTCACAATTCAGGATGTTTTAACAACTTCATTACATTGACCATTTGGATATAGTGGAATCAGTAAAGGCCTTAAAAATCCCCATCTCTCATGTAGTACAGGTATTCCCTGGATAACTGAGATCTTCCAAAGAAAACAAGAAATAAAATGTATCTGCATGGAAAAAAAATGGGGGGAAAAAAGCTAAATTTTGCATTATCCTAAAAGAAACAACTCCTACTCCTGCATTTATCATTGTTTAAATATTTAAGAGGTAAATTTTGTGGACTGCATATTCAAATTGCCCCATGCCTATCCTTTTGTTACGACAATGCAGCAGGTGACTGGCATGCTTGAAAAGCTGCTGCAGCACCACTGATAAAATTATGTATGTTGGTTCTAGTTTGTGTATTTATTTCAAAGCAAAGGAACCTCTCTGACAGAAACATTATAAATAATTACAATTAGAAAACTATCAAGGTTTAAATTCAAGGCCTCAAAGAAAACATCTGCCCATGCTAGTTTTGTCCTTTTGTATTTGGAAAAATTGATTTTTTCCTACTCTCTAAGCTTTTGTTTTATTTTGTAATGGAGAACAATCAGCATGTTCTAGCTTTCTAACTTATTATACATGATGTCAGCAAATTATTGGTAATGGCATTTGGCAGTTAACTTGAACTCTGTTTTCTAGCTGGCTCTACAGCACCAAGAGGGTAATGTGTAATTAACAGCCACTGTTTAATTTCTCAAATGTACTTTGATTTAGAAATCAGAAAAACATTGTCCATCAGATTTCACAATTTTAAGGTAGATCACATTTGGAAAAAAAGGAGTATTTCAAAGTGCTCCTTTGAAGATATTTTGCAGTCACACAACATGAGGTTTTTCTGTTGGAAGAATGCCCTGCGTGCATGAGTCCTAATGACAGAAGGAGTTGTTTGACAGCTGTCTCAGAGCAGCAACCAAAATAAGCTGAGAAGACAGACTTCCATGGATGGAAATGGACCCAGGTTAAGAAACTGTAGGGGATCTTGTTGGACTATCAAAACAGATGTAAATTGCAATTTGGAAAACACTTGGTCTCCCAAAAATTATGATTGATAAACCAAGTTTAGGGATGGAAAGGAGTCATAAACTCTTAATATTCATATTTGTATCAAATAATTTTGAATTTATGATATAATTACGTGGGATTTTATTCCAATGTGCACAGTCCTAAAATACTACTAGATCTTATTTTGCCCCTCACTTATACCTATGATAACATTTGAAACCAACCTTGCCCTCGTATAGATGACCTCAAAAGGTACAACGTAGTGGAGGATCAGGTCCTTGAATCCTTCTAATCTGAAGGTATTAATATATGGTGACAGACGACTGGGAGCAAGGAATCCTAGCTCTGTCACCAACTTGCTGCATGACTTTGGCCAAGTCATTTACTGTCACCTTTCAGCCTCAGTTTCCAAATGGGAAATCAGAACAGAATTTTGAATCTCATTGTTTAATCTTTCACCTAGTATTATTTAAATCACTGTGGTAGGTATGCTGGGGTACTTTAAAGTGCTACAAACAAAACAAAATATCCCTCCAATACTGACACTCCATTCTTGGGGGAAAAGATAGCTTGTATCCATATGACTCTTCAGCATAAAAACCTATTGTCACAAAATAATCTCCACTGAAAGGCAACGGTAACAATTAGATGTAAATTCCAGCATGTGACATATTCATTCTGTGGCAACGTGCCAAATACACTGAACACAGATGAAGTTGTTGCTAAATCAGTAACATACTCAAAGAGACTTTATGGAACTCTTATTATTTTTAATGCTTTATAAAGCACCACAGAAATGAATAGTGCTGTAGGTCCATGACCCTACCCCCGGCCCAGAGTATATTATGCTTTTAACCTCTCAACATACCTTCCAAAAATTTAGTTAGAGATGACAAGACACATTATAGTCAAAGACAATATTGCACAAGGAGCCTAGATAAGGTAGACTTACACAAAATAAGATTAAGCGGATGTTTGTCTGCCATAAAGTACATTGAAATATTTTAAATTTTAATTTAGGTTTTTAGAGTGGCATGAGGTTGTGGTCATTGTTTCATCATTCCTACAGGCTAATGTGATAGAAATTAAAATGGTTTGCAGAAGCCACAAAGACTGCTTTTGCAGAGACCAAAACCAAGATGTAAAAGCATTAATGTAATGGATGAATGCTAAAGATAAATTACCTCCACTGGAGTGTGCCATTTTTAGGGCTTCCAGAGAAATAGCAGGTGTTATTTCTAGCTGACAGATGATCACTTTGGCCCTGCAAATGGCATCTGCAGCCCTCTTCAGATCTTCAGAATCCAAAAGCAAATTGGCTCCTGCCACTATGACAATAACATTCTGTCCTAGAGAGAAGATTCTATGTTTTAAATTATGTTCTTTGCTACAAAAATTAAGGTAAGTAAAACAACTTTTTGCCCTTATCCACATGAGGATTTCAAAGCACTTTACACACACACACACACACACACACACACACACACACACACACACACACGCGGAAGGTTGCATATTGGTGTACTTAGTCATTTCAAGATTTCAGTGACAGCCCACCAAGACCTATACATAAAAGATGTTATGCTGTGCACCAAACACAAGGGTATAAATGATTCTTTTGAGAATTTATCAAGTACCGATTATTTCCAAGTTTAATTTTCATGTCCCATTTGGACTAAAAAGAACCAAAAGAACGCTGTACCAATTTGGAAATACATAGGACTTGAGTGTTCCCTAAAGACATTTGTGCTTTCCTGTGATGTTACCATAACAGAAGTAATCAGATTGATATAGTGAGTCACAATGTCCAAAATGTATTTAGAATTTTAACTGTCCCTTCAGCTTAGCATCACTGGATACTGAATCAGATCTGTGAAAATTACGACCATCCTATGAATTTCAAGGGGTATGTCTACACTACCCTCCTAGTTCGAACTAGGAGGGTAGCGTAGACATACCCTGAATTAGTATCTTCCTATTCATAGAAGATCAACATAAGTAAAGCTTGGAGTTCATTCAAAAAAAAAAAAGGTGTTTTACATTGAGATTGTTTACTCAAGATAGCTGTCATCTCAATGTAAAACTCTAGTGAAGAAGACAAAGCAAAAGGGAGGTTTTACTTTGATTTTGCTAGACAAGGTCAATGTCAGACCCTCTTACCTTGGCTTGGCACAGGGTTCGAACGAGCGGGGTTTTAAAAATGGCGGAGCCCCGCTTATGCAAATGAAGCCCGGGAAATTCAAATCCCGGGCTTCATTTGCAAGTGCGGTATGCCTACATTACCCCGCTAGTTCGAACTAGTGGGGTAGTGTAGACATACCCAAGGAGAGCAGCAGCCCTGCTCCAGTTATCAGGGATACTCCACATTGTCAGAGTTCTCAAATATTGTGAGAACCTAAAACAGGCCCTAGCCCCAGTGGGATGACTTTTAAAACAGATAGTTGATCTCGGACTCATAAGAAATTTGTATAGAATATCAAGAGGGAGTAAAGATAGACAGCCAGTCCATTTGAGGGCTGGCAGAGGGAATGGTCTTCCAACTGATATGCGGTAAAACACAATTAGGGCAATAGTTCATACCTTTTCTGGTGTCCATTTTACTGGGTTTTGTGTGTAATGTATAAGTGTAGATGGAGAGGTTCATTACTGTAGGCTCTTGCTATTGTGGTTTAAAACGTCCCCAAGCATATTGCCTTTATTTGGTTGCAATTCTGTTCTTAGTTTTTTCTGTTACAATACCAAGAGGCCTTGAGGCATGAATGCCTGCTAATTAAAATGTATTATTAATCACTAAGTATTAAATTCAGTAAACCAGTTGCTCCTTGATCTATAGCTCCTACCACCCGCCTGCACTGAAGATTCCTTTAGGGGCTGCCAATCACTAACGGCCACTGATTCTGTAATGGATTGAGTTACTCGGTAAATAAATGGCTAGGTTTTTTAAAAATGCATTATTTTTCTTGAATGAGACTTCAAAATCCCTTGTGTAAGCAACATGCAAAGCACGTGTCTCCATACTGACATTCTGAACAGAGAGCAGAAAATCAGAATACAATGATTCCAAGCTTTCCAAAGCAACTCCACTGTTGCTTTGGAAACCCCATAACATAAGAACTAAGGGTCACCAAATGAAATTAATAGGTAGCAGGTTTAAAACCAGCAAAAGGAAGTTTTTCTTCACATAACACATAGTCAACCTGTGGAGTCCTTGCCATAAGATGTTGTGAACTAGCAGTGTTTAATAAAGAACTAGATAAATTTATGGAGGTTTGGTCCATCAATGGCTATTAGCCAGGGTGGATAGGAATGGTGTCCCTAGCCTCTCTTTGTCAGAGGCTGGAAATGGATAACAGGAGAGGGATCACTTGCTGATTACCTGTTCTGTTCATTCCTTCTGGGGCATCAGGCATTGGCCACTGTTGGAAGACAGGATACTGGGCTAGATGGACCTTTGGTCTGATCCTGTATGGCCATTCTTATGCATTGTCAATGGCTTGGTTCAAAATAGCTGTTTTTGAATAGCAAAACCTTAGCATGTTGGCTGAGGCTTTGTTTTTCAACAGATGAGGATGGGCACCTTGGATAAAAGAAACCTCTTCAATAAATATATGCCAATGTGGATTTTCCTGTAGGAATATTCAAAGGCAAACAGTACCTATTTTGCTCAACATACTTTCTGAAAGTTAACATAGTGAAAAGCTAAAAATGGTGAATTGTGGGGTTCAGATGGAATAAAATTGTGGTGGCCCTCCACCTAAACTGTGTGTTGCCTACATTCCCAAATTCTTCCCACTGGAGTACCTGCATGGTCCTTATGAAATAATGAGCAGCAAAATCATAGGTGCCAA